TACAGCAATACTAATTGCATGGGTATACCACCTACTCATTGTCAATTAATGGACATTTGGATTATTTCCACCTTTGGCTATTATGGACAATGCTGCTTTGAACGTTAGTGTACAAGTTTTTTTTTTTTTTTTTTTTTGAGGGGTGTATGTCTAGGAATGGAATTGCTTGGTCATATGGCAACTGTCTTTAACTTTTGAGGGACTGCCAAATAGTTTTCCAAAGCATCTGCAGCATTTCACATTTCTGACAATAAGTTTCGAGTTTCCCAGTCTCTCTGTATCTTCTCCCACACTTATTGTTGTCTTTTTACTTTAACCATGTAGTGTCTGTGTAATGATATATCTCTTTGTGGTTTTGATTTGCGTTTCCCTAACGGCTAGTGATATTAAACATTTTTATGTGCTTATTGGCTATTTGTGTATATATGGGGAAACGTCTCCTTTGCCCATTTTTTTGTGTACCAGGAATCAAACTCAGGACCTTGTGCTTGCCAGGCAGGCCCTGTGCCGCTGAGCTCTGTCCCCAGCCCTGCCAGTTTTATATTTGGGTTGTCTTTGATATTTGAGTCCTAAGAGCTTTATTTATTTATTTATTTATTTATTTATTTTTTTCCCGGTACCGGAAATCGAACTCACGACCTTGCGCTTGCCAGGCAGGCGCTGTGCCGCTGAGCTAATAAATCCCCAGCCCTCTAAAAGCTTCAATGTAGTCAAGATCCAAGTCCTTACATAGACAAAAGATTTGCAAATGCTTTCTCCCTTTTTAAAAAAAATTCGTTTGATGGTATCCTGTAAAGGACAGAAGTTTGAAATTTTGATGAAATCCAATTTACCTTTTTTTTTGAGATAGGGCCTTTGTATGTAGTTCAGGCTAGCCTTTAAACTCACTGTGTAGCCCAAGCTGGCCTCAAAGCTGTGGAGATCTCCTGCCTGAGCCTCCCAAGATGTGGGATTGTAGGGGTCCACTGCCAAACCTAGGTCCAATTTACCTATTTTTCTTTTGTTGTTCTAGCTTTTGGTATGCTGAAAAACCATTGTGTATACCAAGATCATGAAGATTTCCACCAGTGTTTTCTTCTAAAGTCTCTTACACTCACAGGTCCAGTAAGGCAGATTCTTATACTTTTGACCCATTTGGGTTAACTTATATTTAAGGTGAGGTAGGGGTTGAAGTTAATTCTTTTGAAGGTGGATACCTTTTTCCCAGCACTGTTTGTTGAGAAGATTCTTTCCCCATTCAGCTGTCATGTAATCTGCAGAAAATTAATTGAGCATAGATGATAGGGTTTATTCCTGGAAGTTGTGTTCATTTTCATTGATCTACATTGTCTGTCCTTGTGCCAGGATCACTCTGCTTTGATTACGTAGTATGTTAAGCTTGCCATTGAGAAGAATGAACCGTCCAAATTTGTTATTCCCTTACAAGATTGTTTTACTCTTGGTTCTTTAAAGGTATGTAAAAAATAATAACATAAAGTATACCACTTTAATCATCTTAAGTGTACTGTGTAATAGTGTAACACAACCTGCTGTACAACGGATCTTGAACTTCATCTTACAAAAGCTAAAATTCTGTACCCGTTGAATAACTCCCCTTTCCCTGTACCTGGAGCCACTAGCGACCCTATTCTATTTTTGACTGTTTTGTATAATTTATGTAAATGGAATACTGAAATTTTGTTTGTATGCTGGATTATTTTACTTAGCATAAGTCTCATTCATATTGTAGTGTATGATAGGGTTTTCTTTTGTAAAACAGGATAATATTCCATGGTGTATTATACCACGTTCTCTGTATCCATTCATGTAGAGCTGAACGTTTAGGTTTCCTGTTCCTCTCTGCTATTGTGAGTAATGTGCTGTGAACATGGGTGTAAATAAATCTTCCAAGATCTTGCTTTCAGTTGTTTTGGATAATTATCCAGAGGAAAGATTGCTGGATCGCAGGGCACTTGCTTTTTCAGTATTTTGAGGAAACTCCATGCTATTTTCTATGACAGCTGCATCATTTTATATTCTTACCACAGAGCCCAAGCGTGCTGGTATGTCCACATCACCAGCACTTGTTACTTGCGTTTTTGATAGTTGCCGTTCTGTCTGGTTGGGTAATATCCTGTGGTGGTTCGATTTGCGTTTTCTTGATCGTTACTGATGTTGGGCATCTATTCGCATGCGTGTTGTCCATTTCTGTATCTTCTTTGGAGAAACACTATTTATTCAAGTCCTTTGCTCACTTTTTTTCTCTTTTTCTTTCTTTTTTCTTTTTGAAATGGTTTTTTCCTGTTACCTAGGCTGGCCTTAAACTCCTGAGCTAAAGCCATCTTTCTGTGTCAGCTTCTAGAGTACCTGGGATTGTAGGTATGTGCCGTTATTCCTGGCTTGTAGACCATTTTTAAATTGGATTATTTTGGGTTTTTTTGTGAACATTGAATTGTAGGGATTCCGTATTTATTCCGGATGATAATCTCCTAGCAGAAATGTAGTTTTATAAATATTTCCCCCACTGTATAGATTATCTCATCATTCTGTTGATTGCTTCCTTTGCTTTTGTCCTGGAGAAGTTTTTAAGTTTGATGTAGTTCCATTTGTCTCTTCTTGTTGTTGTTGCCTTCAGCGGTTTACATATAAAGCTCAGGTTTGTCTGATCCTCATGAGAGTAAGGGCTGCATTAAGAAGGTACATTTGATTGTTTAAGTAAAAAACCCTTGGTGGTTTTCCAGGGGACACAAAATATGTCGTTCGGTAGCCAAAAGATGATAGCTCCTAGCTCCCTGTGAAACAACCTGGTTTTACTTTGATGTTTCTTAATTATCATGGAGTTTAAAAGCATTCTAGGTGTTCTGTATGATAACAGACACACTTCATGCCCTGGAGGATGGAATTAAGTACCTAGAAATAATTGTTTTTGGTTTTATAAATACCTCAAAAGGAAAGAAAAAAAACCATTACTGAGAAAATTTGTCTTCCTAGACATCCCATCATGACTATAAAAACATCAACAGAGATAAAACTGAAAATTGTTGCGTGATCTCCAAACCCAAAATAATTGGTCCAGTTAAGTTTTAAATAATAACTGTGATCAAATCTGGCATGGGAAGTTGGGAAACAGTCTACCTTGCAGATTTTAAAAATGCCCAGTTACTGAGTTGTAAAAACTTAAGAGCGAGGAGAAGGTACAGCTTGGAGGCAGCTGTGCTACATTATTGTTGAATTAAAGGAAATACTTGGGGCTAGGGATTTAGTTCAGCGGCGCAGCGCCTGTCTGGCAAGTGCAAGGTCATGAGTTTGATTCCTGGTACCGGAAGAAAAACAGACAAACAAACAAAACGGAAATACTTGTTACCATAAAGTTCTGTTTTCCTCTTTATGCTAATAAAGACTATTTCCAGCTAAATAATTACTTTCCTAGTATTCTGACAGACCTGTTTTTGTCATTGTGCCAGTTATTTTAGACAAAAGTTTCATTATTACTTGGCACCAGCTGTTAATTAGATGGCTAATTGATCAAGTTTATATTTGGAGAGTATGTGTCCTTAGGATTTACTTTGTCCCCTTTGAATATTCTGTAGAGGATTTTAAAAATCATTTATAAAAATAGGCATGTAGAAAACTATATTTTCCAGATACATGATTTTTGGTTCTATACAAATTTCACTGTACCAAATGATGCATTTTGTTCATGTTGGACAAAAAGTTAATGTTCTGCTGGTGCGGTGGTGCACACTGGTAATCTCAGCTAGCTGGGAGTTGAGGCAGGAGGTTTGCAAGTTTGGGTCCAGTCTGCGCAGCTTAATGAGAGCGTGAATCGAAATAAAAAATAATTTTTAAAAAGGACTGGGGATAGCTCAGTGGCAGAGTGTGCCGAACTTATGCTCTAGTACCAGAAGGAAAATTTTTATGTTACTTTTCTGTTCTTTTTGCATCTTTTGCCATGTCATTGTAAGTATATTACATGTACATGGACTGATTAAAATCATGTGTAATTAAAGGCTATATTGTTAAAGTACATAAAAACATAATTAACTGAAACAATACAATCACAGGAAAAGAGGCCACTTCGTTTTCTCTGTCCTGTGATATCTAATCTTGCGATGCATATTTCATTATCAGTGGATTCAGAGACGTTCAATCTGTCAACACCTATCCCAGTAGGTGTGCTGCTGGAAGCACAAGTTTAGATTTTTCTCTCATTCAGAATGGTGATTGGAAAGAAGCCATTACATCTCTTTGAGTTGCTTTTTGCTAGACTAAACCAATTTTGCTTCAGACTATATTAACTCATGATGGTATTTTTAAAATAAACCCTTTTGAACTTAGAAATTCTGTCAGGTCTTGAGGTAGATTTTTCATGTAAGTGTCTTGGTAAGAAGTATTTTCACCTAAAGGGTCTATGTCTGTGTTGGGCATCAGTGGTTTATAGGTGTGCAGACAGCCAGGAGTTGATAAGACATTTTTGTGCAGCAAAGAGGACTATGATAATTAGATTAATGAAATTAGTGTTTATGGATTACGTCAAAAATCCATGAGAAACTGGTAGTTTTCACATTCTTCATGGAGGGTGGTACAGAGCGGAATAACCTGGTCCACTGAATTTTGAGGGGGTAGAGAGAGAAGAGTTCAAGGGATGTGTCCTACACTACAATAAGTAACACCTGGTACTTTTTTTTTGTAATTTTAGGTGTATTTATGCATGGCACTGATGAACGAATGAGTGTCCCGCTGAATGTTTTATTAGTATTATTGTCAAATTGTATCTGAAATATATAGAAATATAACAGCAAATATGCCCTCTGTAGAGTAACTTGATGCAGATGTGTGTGAAACATTATGTACTGATTTGATAAAACTTAAAAATGCTTTTAAAAATTGTTACGTTTTTATGTTCAAGTTGTGCATTTGGCATACGCATGGCTCGTTGCTTCATTTTCCAAGGTATGGCATATTTCAGTTCTTTTAAAATATGATAATTTAACAAACACTTGCGTTTCTGTGATACGCATGTTACTCCTAGCTGCTGTGGGTGCTACAGATGAAGTAAAAGGTGTATTCTAATATTAAGGAGTATGAAATTCATTGGCAGAAAGATTCTCACTGTAGTCCACAGTCTGCCTCTTGTCTTTGTATGCCTGGAAACAGTTTTATTAACATACCTTTGAAAGAGGCTGCCCATCGTCAGGGCCTCATCTGTCCACTCACTGCGGAGCGGGGAGCCGGCAGGCACACGGTACACACCTGTGGCTGTACGCGGTGAACCCAGTACATATCTGGATACCTTTGAGGGGGGACTACTTCCGTGTTCATTTTGGCATGAGTAACAGTTCTCTCCTTTCCAGGCAGATTTCATCAACTTAACCATAACCCACAACCTGCGGACCAACCACCAGGTAAACTCAAGTGGGAACTCAGATTGTAATACAGATTTTGCTCATTGCTTTACAAACTCAGAATCTGAGCAGAGAGTATTAACAGTGAGTGCTTGGGACTTCTTCCCCTATAAGGAAAATGTCTCAGACGCAGATACTATTGTTTGCAGGCACATTTTGCACTCCTCTTTTGGACTACCTGAGAGAGCATTGGCAGCCTTTATTCCTCTTGCTTTTTTCCCCTCCTTCCTATTTCCCTTTCTGATTGGCAAATTTCTTTTTTTTTAGATAAGTTAATATTCTGAAACAGATATTAGTCAACTATCCTGGGAGCTACTTGTTAAGGTGACTTTGTATCTGTTTGGTTTTTTATGGACGTAATGCAGATGTCAGCCTCATTTCACTCGTTTAAAATCTCTTGGAGGGTACCTTATGCTGCTGTCTTACATGCAGCGTAGTTTGTGTATGGGTAGGTACAAAAATGGTGGGAGGTTGTAGGATAACACAAGAGACTCTGGAGAAAAAGGATGTAATTACTTTAAAAAAGACTGTCTTGGTTACTTTTCTCTCATTCCTAAGACAAAATACCTGATGCACACAGTTAAGGAAGGAAAGGTTTATTTAGCTCACAGTCTGTGGAAGTTTTGGTCCATACTCAGCTGGCTGCAAGGCAGGATGGCACATGGCAGAGGGCAACCGTTCATGGGGGGACATCTAGACACAAATCATAACAGAGACTGAGTCTGATACCCAGTTGGGAAATACCCTGATCCGAGAGTGTCTGAGAGTGGCTGTATGTTATTCTGAAATAAATTGCTTTAAAAGTCAAAGGAATGGGGTGAATGTAATCTCTGTATGTGTTTTCTCTGTGACAGAAAAGTGTACAAGGTACTTTCAGCTTCTCTTTTCCATTATGAAATTAGGTCAAAATGAGACACTCAAGATTTTTAATGTAGGGGCTGGGGATTTAGCTCAGCGGCAAAAGCGCCTGCCTGGCAAGCGCAAGGTCGTGAGTTCAGTTCCCGGTACCAGAGAAAAACCAAAAAAAAAAAAAAAAAAGATTCTTAATGTTTCACATTATGTGATACTCAGCATCTATTTACTGTATTTCTTTACGGGTACTGAAAGGATAAAAATATTAAAGCTATACTTAGTTTCCTGGAATTAGTTTGTTTTGCTTTTTACTCTTTCTATTCCTTTTTATTTTTATTTTATTTTATTTTGTTTTTTTGTTTTTTTTTCCAGTACCGAGAATTGAACTCACGACCTTGCGCTTGCCAGGCAGGTGCTGTGCCGCTGAGCTAAATCCCCAGCCCCCTCTATTCCTTTTTAAACACTCTAATATCAGGAAGAACTTGTTCTGAGAAGGTGAGAAGATAAGGCATTGCACATCCCCGTGACACCAGCCAGAAAGATAGAGAGGTTGGTGGAGCCACTTGTTTTCATAGTTTCCTTGTGTCTAATCTGACTTTTATCCTTATAGCCGTATCTTCAGACAACATGTAATTTTCAGAGCAGAGTCTGTGTAGATAATGTAAAAAAATTTATTATTTAAGCTTACACAGTTTAATATGTTCTACCTTTTAGATTTGAAAAGGCATAAAGGGAGAGGTGGTAGTGCTGGAGAGAATGGAGAAATTATACAGTAAATGTGGAATACGGACAAAAATGTAGTTAAATTCATCCTGGGTTCGGGCTGTAGTTCCATGGCAGAGTGGAATGCTTAGCATGTACCAGTCTAGGCCTCGATTCAGTCCTCAGTATCCAAACCCAAACGAAACCCAAACATTGGGAAGCAAAGGGCCAGTTAAAGTAAGTGTCATTTTTCAGTTTAAAAGTATTGGTTACTGTATGCTTCATGCCCTGTGCAGTCCTGTCATCCCTGCCTTCCTGTTCCCATCCACTTTACCTCCACTTCCGTCACCCTGCTCCTGAACACCGTCACCTGCAATGCTGTAGTGTCTTCTCACTGGCCTGGTCCTCCTCTCTGGCCTCCTACCCATCACGTACACCCGACTCCTCTTCCAGGAGAGATCACCTTCTTATCTCAGCACCTTCCACAGACTTCTTGTCGCACCTGCAGTGAAATAAAAAATTCTTGCTGTTCACTGTATTGCTGCTTCTGCTCCAGCCATACTGGCTGTTCATTGAACTTTGCTGAGCTTGTACAGTGTCTTAGCGCTGCCCTTTGTGTGTGCTTTTCCTCTGCTCCTTCGAAGAGACCTTCCATATTGTATATTTCTCTGAATGCTTACCTTTTATTTTCTTCATGGCATTTATCACTGCTTACAGTAATATTCCATATTTTGGCTTATATGTAGCTTATTATTTGTATCCATCTATCCCAGGATACAAACTGTGAGAAAAGGACTTTATCTACAGTATTTTGGTAATTTCTGCTACCTTGTGGCTATGTGAGTAACTTGACAAATATTTATTGAATGAATTAATGAAGATATTCACATATGATTGTCCTTGTGATCTTGAATGATTCTTTATCAGTGTTTATCAGCTCTTAGTTCTTTCATGGAGAATTATCTATGACATCTGTTCCTGCACTTTTAGAAAAATTTGGCTCAGAACAATGGTTGCTGGGATAATAGAAGCACACCAAGGGCTATGCAGACATGGTCCTGGAAAGTGTGGAGAAAAGGACCGGGGTGCAGCTCAGTAGCACATTACTGGGCCAGTGTGCGTGAAGCCCCAGGTTGACTCCCTAAGCGCGCGCGCGCACACACACACACACACACACAGGCACACACACACAGTGGGGGAAATATATCACAAATTTGATTTGTCTGTTTTTGTATACTTTATAGTATACCATCATACCGTAGTACACCTGGAGAGGAGCATTGTGCAGTCACAAAGTGAGTGTGGATCAGGATCAGTAATTTTGTTTAAAGCAAAATGTGTTTCTGTAGTGAGGCTGTTTCCGTGTTTTTTGAATCTCTTCTCACTCCTCAGAAAACCATACAGCTGTCGTATTGGGTTGAGCGAGATAATTCAACCTGTATTAGAACCTTCCAATTCTTCATCGTCTGTGTTTTTGGTTAATATCTGAATAATTTTTCTTTTTCATTTTGAATAGTTGAGCATTTTTTTAAAAAAATTGCAAGTGTTGGAATTTGAACCCAACACCTTGTACATGCTAAACAAATGCTTTACCACAAGGTTACATTGCCAGTCCCAGGTTAGGCTTTATAATAAAGCATAATTGGTTTCTAAGTCTTAAATTGTTTTAAGAAACTTTATTGAGGTATAATTCCTATACCTGTGCTCACTGCTTTAAGTTTTACACTATTTTAGCTATAATGCATATACCTGTGTTCACTGCTTTAAGTTTTACACTATTTTGTAATTGCAATATATAAAATTTTGAAGACACAGCAAGACAGAGAGGTCATATGCTTAGGATTTGGAAGTCTAGTTGTGTACTAACTCTACATATCTTCTTAAGTGAAGTTTTACAATATTGGAGGAATTAATAAGATATAAACTTGACACATTGAAGTAATGTGCTACTTAACACGCGAAGGATACTTGAAAACCACAAATAAGCAGATACAAGTTTTACTCTTTATAAAAGACAGCCTAGAACAGTGATGGCAAACCTTCTAGAGCTTTCAGCTTCACAAACAGCCCGCTGCAGCACACATGCCGTAAGTTTGCCCCCATTGACGTAGAAGATCATACAGTGGTAGTGCCATAGTTTAAAATGCTTTTGGAGCTTTTCATTTGAGATTGGGTTCAGACACCCTGTGTCTAATTTTTTTTTTAGGTCCCTTTGTGCTTGAAGTTTTTCTATGACAAAGGTTTCAATTTTTTGGTCACTTAAAGCCATGATGAATTTGGATAATAAAGTCAGATAATTCCATTTTCAGTAAGGAAAAAAAAGGGAAATTGATTTTTCACGTATAGTTTGCAAGTTGTCTCTAGAAGTAGTTATACATGATGATCTCTAGAAATGCTTAGTGGTAGCCTTGTTGGAAAAGGTGCGCTATCTTAAAGCGGCAACTGTGACATGTTGATTCTTTTTCCCTACCGGTTATGGAACTTTAATTCTCTAAATACTCATTTAGCGATATTAGGACTGATGTGAGATTTTGTGTGTGTATAGATTCATATTTATATGTATCCATACTTCTGAACATCTTCCTCTGACCAGATTTTCATTATTTTGTAGTCTTACGTAAGTAGCTTCATATGATAAGCATCTGATAAATTTTGCTTTGGAGTAGGTTCTGTGAATTTCTAATAAAATTGTCATAGATCATAGCCTGAGAAGATTTCCAAAGGGAAAGGATATCAAGAAAAGTTTTAACCAAACTGTGAGACCATGTGGATGTTCCATGATGCTACTTTCATGTAGAGCTCTTAGGCTTGAAATAAGAGGGACTGACACATACATCTACATTGTGTGTTTCTTCAGCAAATCTCTGTGTTGGGCATACGCAAATACTAATGACATTAAAAAAATGAAAGGTAGTGACGTACAAATTTGTTCCAATAAACTGTTTCTTATATGATCTTACTCAGACTGATACTTGACCAGAATCAAAGGAAAAAGTAGTTGTGATCAGGAATTACAATTATTATCTGTCCTGCTCTAAGATTTGTTTTTGAACCGTATGTTCAAGGGAACATACCCATTTCTTTATGATGACTTCCTGGACCACTAGAAAAACATTGCTTCATGCCTTCTCGGACAAATGTGTTGTTGAACTTCCAGTTCATTTTACTTCTTTGCCACAATATAAGGTACTAATTTTGAAAGAAATTAACAGGTTTTGGAATGGGTTTATTGTTACAAATAGAAAAATGAAATTTGAAAATCTAGTCTATTATGTGAAGTCACATCCTTTCTAAGAAGTTTGTAAATGTTTTTGGGGAATAACAGTTCAAGAAGTAAAAAGAATAAAATAAATTTAACTCTAGAAAAATTAATTTTAGATTTCTTTCTTCATTCCTTTCAGAGTTCTCCAAAACTTTGGAACTTTTTGATTTGGAAAAAAGTTAAA